AAAACTAATTAGCAACTTAGAATGTAAAAATTCAAAGAGATTGGTTGAGATGAGAGATAATTTTTAGAACAATTTCTTCCAATTTTTGATAGTTTTTGAAATCTACCTCTTGACCTGTTATACCGCCTTTTTTACCGAAAGCAGAGGTTCTTTTCTTATTTATAATTTCTGAGAAGGCATTGGTTTTTTCAAAAAGAAGAGGAATAGATTCGCCAATTTTCCAATTCAGATCTTTTGATTTGAAGTAATTCTTTACTAAAAAAAAATTAAATTCGATGTAAGCTTCAATTTAAGAATACTTTATTTTAATTTTCTCACAAAACATTACTTACTGGCATTTGCAATACGTTGTGTAGAATTTCCATTAGATGTTATAGCTGCATCACCTTCCTCAATTTCAATCCATCCACCTGGTTTGGTTATTCGTAGCAATTCAGGAATAGCTTTTTCTTCCCATTGTTCTTCTGTGTAGGCTGCAATCATAAATTTCTGGTGTGTAAACTCAAAATAGGAGTCGTTGAAAGGTGAACCATCTAAAAAGTTACAATTGACAAATTCTAGATTCTCAGGAAGACCATCTGTTGGAAAAATTGGTGAGAAATCTATTCCTACAAAATGAGATTTGGGATACTTTTTCGCCATATCCTAAATTTTTTATTAAAAAAATACATTATTTTAAAATAATAAACTTTCACAAAGCGATATAAAGAAAGCTTTTTACCAAAAGCCATACGCCTGGTCCACATCTAGTGTTGAATTATTTTTATATCATACAAGTTAAATTAAATTTTAAAATATGCTTAATAAAAATAATTAACAAACTACCCAATATCGACAACCTGAGCTCCCCGTCTCAGTTTCTCTTCAACTGGTGAATGGAATAATCCTCCCCAAAAATTTTTTAATGCTTATGAATCCAAGAAGTAAAAGAATTAATCATTTTTTTGTGATAGTTTGCTTATTTCTCAAAGCAAAATATAATCACCTTCATGAGTTCGTATCAAACGATCAGCCTCCTCATCATCATTCGGACATATATACTGTGAATTAGAAATATTATGGTATCGTCTACCATCAATATAACGAAATCTATAACGATCGTTTTCTTCATTATTGTGTCTAGAGCAGCAGCAGGCACCCATTTTTAGTTACGTAGTTTGAAAAGAAATTATAATACTGTCATTTTAAGCTATCAAAATAAGATTCTATTCACAATATCGATTACGGGTAAATTTCCTTCTTTGGCGAATTTGATTATATAACTGATTTGTACGTATCGGTATGCTACGTAATTGAACACTACCGCTACGTATTCTCTCGTACAAATTGAACACATTGATAGAGAAATGGATTTGGTGAGTTTCGATTATATTTGCTAGTTTACCTTTAACGAATTTAATTATTAGTTCCACCACTTGTCACGGCGGCTACAGCAGCAAGAGAAAAGTTAGTTCAGTACTAT